AATAACCCTGGGAGATTAGTGTAAGGTGATACCGATGGGGCCTGCCATACGTCCCCATACTCAAATATAAAAAAAATGGTTTTATACACTGCCTGTTTTTGCTTTACAACAAAAAAAATTGTTTTTACCTGCGGGGTGTATTTTTTATTTGTATTTATAAAATGCCTTTTAAACATGTTTTATTGGCAAAAACTGTTAATAATATTATAACATATATACGTATATTTAGTTTAAAATACTTATGTTGTTCTCTTTTGCCCCTCCATTTTATTTTAAGTTTAATATTATATTTCTAGGCCCGAAAAAAAAACAATAGAGTGTAATTTACACTGTGTAAATTTCCCCTCAGAAATCCCCTTAGAAAAAAGTTCCCTCAACCTTGTTGTTACTTTCTTTACCCAAACCTACTGTTTCTATTTAAAGAACAAGCTTATAATTTAAAAATTTAATAGCAAAAAATAAGTTGATCTAAGATTTAAAATTTTTCAAGTATTAAAAAAAAAATATATTTTTTAAACACAATTTTGTTTTTATTTTACATTACTTTTTGCCATAGTTATTTATTTATATTTATAAATTTAATTAATATTTATTAAATTACAAATTTATTTAAAAAATATTTACAATTATCATAAAATTAATTAAATTGCATTTTTTAATGAATGTTTCCTACAATGAATTAATTAATTAATATTTCCTACAATGAAACTAAATAAAGTTATAAATCAATTGATTTCAACCATTTAGCTTTTCGGTCAAACAAAAAAACAACATAGATATTTGGATATGATTAACATAGTAGTAATTTTATGATTTTAAAAATGTTATTCTTTAATAATATCATTTTTACAGGTATTTTTAATTTTGGGATTTATTTTTTCATATATATTTAATATAGCTGTATGGTAAATAAAAAACTACCTTTTTACATGTATAAAATCATATTTATTAAGTCATAATATTAAATTAAATAACATTGATATGGAAAACACACAATTCACCACAGTTTAAAATTAAACAAATTTAATTTAATTTTCAAAATTTCTTTGGATAAAGTGCAAAACTTGAAAATTGTGTGCCTTTTTAATTTGTGCAAAATGCATATTTTTGGCTTATGTTTGGTCTTATGTTATATGTATTAAACATTGGCACAAGGCAGGAAGAATGGTGTAAAAAATTATATTTGGCAAAAACAGGTACAATATAATATATTATGTATAACGTATTTTTTAATACTAAATAATTCTAGAACCCAGTTTTATAAATTATTATTCTTTATTTAAAAACACGGGCACATATTCTTGGAGTAATGATTAACATTAAATTGACTAGCAAACGGGTTAAATTACATAAATACATACATAAACAAAAAATAAAAATAACATTTTGCAATATTGTATATTTTTATTTTATGTATTGAGATAAATATACCTAATTCTAATTATGCGCTTTCGTAAAAATTACGTTATGTACCTACTATTTACTTTAAAGTAGCATAAATATTTTTATTTAGCATAAAAAAAAGATTTGAGGACTCCAAGCATTATTTTTATAAATCAGATAATATTATTTTATTGCTAAATCACGATGTTAAAAACCAAAGTTGTAATTGTTGTTTTTTGGTAAAAATAAATTATGTTACAAAGATCTACCTAATAAAACTGTTGACTAAATATTAAAAATAAATTAACCCTTAATTATTTTTGGTTTTAACAAATGTACGATGTTATTTATATAATATTCAGATAAAATATTTCGGAATTAAATGATTTTAGCACTTTTTTATGATAAGATAGATGCAATATTTTAAATATTATTATTAATTAAACTTAAATAAAAAAATATTGCTTGCCTTCTATGTTTGTCCTATTTTGTAGAGTTTTAATGCCAAGCAGATATATTTTTCTATATACATAAGTAATAGAAAGCATTTTGTTTAACAGGTAAACTTTTATATTTTAAAACTAAAAATGTCGATATTATAAAATTACTTTTATTAATTTAAAAAGTTATCATTAAAATTATGTTAATTTAATTTAATTAACAAAGAAATCTTTACCACAACATACAATTTCAAATATTTTAATAATTTTTATTTCAAATTCCATAGAAGTTATAACGGTTTTATAGTATAAGTTAGGGTTTCCGCCCAGAAAGCATCCAATTCAGAAAGATTTCTGTACGAAGTCTGTTGAAAAACATCTTACCGAGGTCACTATATGACATCTTAGAGAAATCATTTTTAGGAGCTCAAGATTAAGAGTTCTTGATGAATTCATAAATGAGAAGTCAATTTTCTTTCTTTTTTTCTGACCTCTTATTGGAATCAAAATTAGAAGCTACTAAGGGTATCATAAATAAGACTTCAGTTATATGATATTTTACAGTATTCTCTTTTCTTACTTCTAACTGAAATCATATTATTAACTCTTTAAGACGTCAACATGGAGACGTCACATTTATGATATTTTAATGCGATTACTTTCTTCTCACCGCTGTATCTGCTTGTGTTTGATATAAGAATTCTTAAGCGGCGAAGTAGAATTTAGAGCGTGCTCCATACCAAACGGTCTTAGACCTAGGTAAACGGCTACCCGATACTGACGAGCTCCAAAAGAGCAAAACATCGGTGCCGGTGAAGAGCACGCTTGAATTTAAACAAAAGTGAGACGAAGTAATCGCAATTCCAAAAATAAGCGAATACGAGCAAATTATTAAAATGATTTTAATAAAATCAATTCAACACATTCGTTTGTTCTTGACAAGCAACGAGCAAATTATTAAAATGATTTTAATAAAATCAATTCAACAAATTCGTTTGTTCTATGGTAATTAAACTTGACATGTCAAATTAAGCAACGATCCAGTATGTAATTTTTTCATCAGTATCCTAGTAGTCTATATCCAAACGGGAAATTCTAAAGAAGTCTTTTTATAAGTTTATACAGTAGGACTCTTTAAAATGCTTAATTGCGAAGTCAAAAAAAAGGGTTCCTCAAGAGTTCTTTTTTGAGTCTTGATTAGTTCAATAGGTGGGCCATTCGAAGTCTTAAGAATTTCTTTCTGATGTTGTATTTGACGTCCAAATCGTAAATAGAGCTTATGCAGACTTAATTAAGACGTCATATTGCTGTCTATAATAATAAAGGGTTATTTTATATTTATTTTATAATAATAACGCGTTATTTTCCTAAGCTTTTTTACTTGGGTTTCGTCTAAATTCTTTGTTTAGAGTCTAAATACAATTAAAAAAAATCTTATGTCGTTTAACCTTGTCCAAGCGACATTTTATTAACAAATAAAAAAACATAACCCGCTAGAAAATAGACATTCTTTTGTAGTAAATGTTACGTTTTACAAAAAGTTATTTTACATTTTTTTCGCAAAACAATCCATTTAAATGATATCGGATGTTAAAAATAAATAAAAAAATTGTTTTTATGAATTTAATAAGTTAGCTTTAAGTTGGGTTGGGCATGATTACTTGTTTACAGTCTAAGAACAATTAAAAAAAGTCTCTTGCCTAAATGAGAAATCTTTAATTTTCAACCTCAGGTATTTAAATAGATGGATTTACGAAAATACGAAATAGTATATTTTCTACTCCTATTACGGAATATGACCGTTCTAATATTACTTTTTAATGGTGAATGACATATCTGTGTTTAATATCTAACAAATTTAAGACCGATCCAACCTCACTTTCTCCCAATTAAATTATTTTTCTATGGTATTTTTTGGAAACGTAGAAAAAGTATAGTCTGAAAAACGTTTGGAATTGCATATTCCGCTCTCGTGAAAACGTAAAACTTGCCTTCGGCTCGTGTGACAAACTTTTCACTCGAGCGGAATATGCAGTATTACAGAAAATTCTTTAATTTGTTAGATAATAATGTAGATGATACCCAAGTAAAAAAAACTTGGAAAATAAGGGAACCCTAATATATATATATATATATATATAGTTTTCCGAGATCTGCTCCGTGTTTTTGGGCTGCTGTTGCTGCTCTGCTATGAAAGACGTGGAGTTCTTATATAAATACGATTCGCGTTGAGAAACATCCATGTTCTTGTATAGGCTGAGCAAAAATACAGAATTTCAAAATTAAAAATTTTTGAATATTTTTTTTCTGAAGCGCTAATATAAATAGCAGGTAAGGAGAAATCAAAAAGTTAAATGAAGTTTTTTCATATGAGTTTTTAATACAAGTTAGGACCTGAATTGATTTTATTTTTATATAAATATCTTAGTAACAACAACTCACAAGAAAAAAACTTTATTTGGCTTTTTGGTTTCTCCTTCGCTCTTCATATTAGACCTTAAAAAAATATATTAAACAATTTTTAATATTGCAAAATCTACAATTGGATTTTTTTGAGCACCCTGTATAATAAAATAGAAGTTTCTTATCGTGAATGATATTTATATAACAAGCAGAAGAAATTATGAGGAGCGACTTTTCTTCGAAAAATTGAAAATAAATATTTTTACAAGTATAGTTAAGTTCATCCGTGTACACACTGTATATATATATATATATATATATATATATATATATAATTATTCAGAATTATATAATAACGACACATTTTTCAAGAAGCAATAATGATTTATGTCTTAATTATTAATTTTAATGGGCGGATAAATTACATCATTTTCTATATACATCCTTATTTAATTGTCGTACCTAATATAAAATGTGGGCCAAAAATGTTAATGTTAAAATTTTATTTGCCAGAGACCCTGTATCATGGCAGTACAACTTACCGAAGAACAATAAAATGGACAGATAAGTACGAAAAAATTGTAATAAGTGATTTATTTTACTGCACTATTTTGGCACATTAATAAACATTTAACCCACGTGTAAAGCATCTAATATTACTATTGATTGTGTCTCGAACATTTAGACTTCAATAAATATATACACTTTATTTGCTTCAGCCTGTGTATAATTGGCATGGAAATTGTCCCCCAAGAGGGCTAATTACTGTAATTAAATTACGACCAAAGAAAATCAATAAGAATAATTTAAGCTTCTCCAACAGATTACGTGAAACCCTGACCTCGAAGTTTATGCCCGTCGAGGACTTTCGAAGTTAATTTTTTATTCATTTCGTCGTTGACGACTTCTTTAAGCATGCCCCAGAGGGCTTTTTTATCCAAAAGAATGTACTGATCATTTTTAATTTCGGGCCCAAATGTTATAGTATCTTCTTTAGTTACTTCTTTCATCTCCAACTCTAAGGGTATGTCGTGAATTTCTTCTTTGTTTACGTGTTTGGGAGGAAAAATAATAGCCTGTGTTATTAGTTTTTTTGTTGTTGGTTTAACTGTGCTTGGTTTGGAAGTTGAAGCAACAGTTGTAGTACTAGTACCAGTAGAAGTAGGTTCTGTTGAAGTATATTTAATAGTAGTGCGAGTAGGAATTGTACTTGCATATAAAACACTGGAAGTTTTCTTTATAAACTCAACGTTATCGTCATCATCTAATATAAGATTTTCGTGCAACATTTCATCATGTTGGTATTCCGTGGTAGGTTCCTTGGATGATGGCATTTCCGTATTAATTGCAAAAAATGAATCAGAGAATTCAGGCTCTTCATTGGAAATCGATTTATTATCAACGTTTATGGTGTATGTTGCTACACTTAAAACATTTAACAAGGGCGACATTTCTATTTTTTCTTCAACTATTTGATTTATAGTTGATACTGTAGTAGTAGCAGTTCCCTTTGCAGTAGTTGTATCGGTATTAGTTTTATTGAAAGTAGTAGGTGCCATAGTACTCGTGGGAGGTAAGGTACTAGTTAAAAAGTTACCCTGGCATTCGCTTATATCAAACATACTATTTGCATTCCTCTTATCATTGTCACCAAACCAAGTAATAATATCATCTTCGGTTATGGACTTCAATAGATTACTTTTAAAATTGGCGTGAAAGAATGATTCAGCACCTAAGTCTTCTCGTGAAGCTGGATAAATTTTGGAAAATGCTGGACGTAACGAGGAAATCACAAAAGTACTTCTAGCGGTGTATTGTATGCAAATTGGGCAATGTGTTGATACATTGGCAAATGTGAACCAAAGCTTATTGGCATGATAGCTGTGTTGCATTTCTGCCATGTTATCTGGAGATGTTAGAAGCTGTGGAGGAGTGGTTGCAAGTTCGTATCCCGAAAAAAGATTTACTTCTAATTTTAGTACGCCTGATGGTAAAGGACCTTTCCACCTAAAAAATATGTTTTTCGTTAATAAGTCTAAATAGTATTAATACGTACTTAAAGCAAGTTTTAATTTTTAGAACAGGTAGTTTTCCTTCTATTTCTTCTACAGAGCTTCTATCAGGAAGAATCTCCTCTGTCACCCCAGACCATAATTCAAGAAGGCTGGTTTTGCTCTTGGTCGAATATGTGGAATATGATATTTTCCCCTTAAAATAATATTTAAAAATTATGCTTTAACATTATATTAGCAGGAAAAATTAATATTTATGTATTCAACGTTGATTAATGTAATGTTATATGAAAAGCTACTATGCAAAACGCAGTTTTGCATTAAGGTGGTTCAAGCTAAACTACATCCACTAACAAAACTCGCTTGGATAAAATCGTGATATTTTTCGAATAAAATGGTCTCGAATACAAAAACTTTCGTTTCTTGATTGAGTGCGTATCAAAGATTTCTCAATCCTGAAAATATTGATTTTTTTTAACTGCGTTTTGCAGAGTGGCTCCTTACACAATGTGTCATATCCTAGAAATTAAAATTAAAATATTTAATTTGTAGTTTTCGGCCATTTCAAGCGCGCGAAACGCACGAATTACAAAACTGTTTTTATAAAAAAATTGTAGATTATTTATTATATAATATTTTGGCATCAAAATTGTCAAAAATATTCTTCTTTTATTAGGTTATACATCAAATAAAAAAAAAACGCAAGAAATATTTTATGAAAGTAGATATAATTTTAATAATTGAAAGGTGTGGACGGGACAAAAAAAAGATTTATCTTGTCCCGTCCACCCCTAACAATTATTGAAATTATCTCTACTTTTATAAAATATTTCTTGCGTTTTTTTATTTAATGTATAGCCTAATAATATAAGAATATATTTGACAATTTTGATGCAAAAATAATACATAATAAATTACCTACAATTTTTTTTATAAAAACAGTTTTGTGATTTGTCCCGTCCATCCGCTTGAAATGGCCGTTTTACAAATAAAAAAATATATTTATTGCAATACAAAACAAAAATTTTTATTTATAAGATATCGGGGGCATTAAATCAGTAAATTTAACAGAAAAAAAATAATTTTTTTTGTAAATACGTTTTGTATTTTTATACACGTTACATATTTAGGTTTTTTGATTTGATGCTCTCGATATCTTATAAATAAAAATAGTACCCGAATGCAATTATCAAAATCATTTCATTTACAAACTTTCCAAACATTGTACCAATCTAATGTTTAATTCTCAGAGGAAATCTATATCTTACTTGAATGGTTGCACATCCAGCGCCAGTAGCATACACGAAAACTTTGGTGGGCAAACTGGGCAGATGTAAAACTTGCGGAACTTTACTGGTCTTTAACTCCAAAGTGTCCGTTAACTCCATGCCAGAAGTGGCGAGCGATACGGTAAGCGATCTGTGACGGTCTTTAGTCATGGAATCGTATTGCGAGAAAACTTTTACCGCTGTGTACAAAAGTTCGTAGTGTTTATCAAGCATGTGAGAGCGGTAGAACAGATAGCGTGCCACACTTTCGGCTGATTTTAAGTCTCCTATGATGCAGAACGTCGAGAGAGCGTAAAGGGAGGCTTTGTATTCTTCTACGGTGGCTAGAAAATAAGTTTATAAATTAAAATATACTCTACTTGGTGCATTTTGAATATTTTTTCATTTAGTTTAGAATAAGAGAATAATAACTTAAAAAAATAAATATTTTTTTAAGTTATGCTTTGTTTAGTTAATAATTTAAGATACATTTTATCATAAAACACTCAGTTGTTTGGCCATACAATTTGTGTTGAAACTCGTATGAATTAAAATTAATTTTATTGAAAGTAAAAAACATTTATTGTCAAAAATTAAGATCTAACGGACTCATTCCAATCTGGCAAAATATCAATTTACGCACGGTAGCTCAAACTTACTGGGAGTTATTATTATTATTATTATTATTATTATTATTATTATTATTATTATTATTAAAATGGAACCTAAGCGGCCTTGTATTTCGAAAGAAAAAAACCGCAACATTCACCAAACTTTTCATAAAATTCTGAAAAAAAATGGGCAAATCTTATCAGAAAAGAATTATTTGACAGATCACCTAACCCCAAATTCAAAGACCCTTTTTAATCTCACACCGCAGAAAATTAATGAATGCGCTAGTTTGCAAAACACGCATCACAAAATAAGTAGGTAACGAGAATCAAGTATACGTGATGAATATTATGAGACCTACTTTTATATTGTTTCTTTTGGTTTAAAATTTATATACAAGATGTACCAAAGGTACTACCGAGAGAATTTTCGATTCACCAAAATTACCAATTTTAAGTAAACATCCTAATAATTCTAGTAAAGTGTGATCACTGATACATAATTTACATACGCACATAATATTATTTTGTAAATATGTAGGAATGTTTTTGGAAACAATTATACTTACAATATACAAGGTGTCCCTAAACTTATTGGCATACATTTAGGAAAAGATTGAGCAAGTTAAAATAAGACGAAAACCTAAATAAATATTTCTCCTAATTACTTATGTTTCAAAGATACTGGGTGATAAAGTGTTACTTATCATATCAGTTTTTTTAATATAACTTCTACTATGGTAGTCTTGGAAAGGTGACATTTTGCGAACAGTCACTTACTACCAAAACACGTATTCACACATAATTACAATTGTTTGAGTGAACACAGTGTCGTAGAAACGGAGGTTAGGTTTTTCAAACATTTTATGCAATTTTTCGATTACACAGTTCGGTTACCATTAAAAAGGTGTACCTCTCAAACTTCGATAAAATAAACCGTTTTCGAGATATTCGAGATTACAATAATTGTTATAGAGAGAACAATAATTGAGGAGCATCCGTGCAAAACCGGCTAAATCCATTTTATTCAGTTTTTGGTTTTTTTTTCTGATTTCGCATCTTTGGGTTCATTTCTATCGACAACCAAGATAATTCTGTTTAAATCCGACTATATCCATGTTAAAATCACATTTAAAAGGTAGCTTTAGGAGCAAAACCGGCCAAATCCACGGTTTTATAACAAACCCGGCTATATCCAATAAATAATAATGATGATGAGCATGTGGCTTGGATATGTCGATACTACTACTAAAATTTGTTGTTTTGTTTTCATGTTTGCAATTTATTTTGTTAATATTTTTGAATAATAAAGGTTTTTTTTCACATTTTATTCGGTTTTTGAGCAAAACATTTTTTGAAATTTTGGCCTAATATAAAGTTTTTGAAACCGAAAGTATGCCTTATAAATCAAGTACCACAAAGCCCACAAAACTCAAGTTTGCTTTTTCTTTTATCTGTAAAGGCCAGGAAACCGAGAGTTTTTGCCATATTCCCAACATTTTATTAAAGAGGATATAGCCGGTTTTGCACGGATACTCCTCAATTGTTGTAATTATGTGAATTATTGTAATTATGTGTGAATATGTGTTTTGCTAGTAAGTGACTGTTCGCAAAATATCACCTTTCCAAGTCTACCATAGTAGAAGTTGTATTAAAAAAACTGATATGATAAGTAACACTTTATAACCCTGTATCTTTTAAACATTCGTAATTAGAAAAAATATTTATTTAGATTTTTGTCTTATTTTGACTTGCTTAATTTATGCCACTAAGTTTAGGGACACCTTTTATATTTTATCGTACGACCTAGATTAATATTTATTAAATCGGTACTTTTGGTAGATCGGAAATTTTTCCGGTCTTATAATCTATAATTTGTGTATTTTATGCATAAAAACATTTAAAAAAATTAAAATATTTAGAATTCCTATATAGTTATTGAATATAGTAAATTCACACAATATTCTAGTTGCATATTATGTCCATACTCATCATAATATAGAATAAAAAGTATAGATACAATATATCGAAGTATCAAAAGGTAAAGTATCGATACTAAAAATATCTAGTCGCCAACATTTTTGCATAATATTATCGTTTTTTTAATAATTGAAAGCTTCCTTACAAAAACTATATAAGCTTTCTACAAGTCATTGTAAAAAAACATATTTTGAATAATATCGAAAAATGGTTAAATTTAACATATTTAGAAACTTATATTTAAAATTTAATATTAAAAATCTTACTTATTAGAGGTTCCCTAAGTGTGCTTTCAGATTCAGATTCATATAGCCAGTCTGCAGCATCACGTCTAGGCGTAAACCTAGGCCAACCAAACTCTCCATCTTCTGTAGTTGAAGCGTTCCTCAATTTCTCGATGGCCCACGCTGCAGTGGCGCTCCTGACCAAGACTAATGCCAATGTAACAGCTGCAATTGTATCGACAGATTCCACATTCGGTAGACTATTTTCCAAAAATATTTTAGCTTTTTGTATTGTATCTTGATCGGCATCACTTTCGATTCCGATCTCGTATAACGCAATTAGAGTTTCGGCTGTTATTTCTGTCACGTGCTCCAGGAGAACTGATTCGGAGGTCAGGTTTTTCCTACAAAAAAATTGTTTTAAAAGAATGTTTTTAAGTATTAAACTTATTGAAAGTTGACTTTAACGTAGCATTTCTAAAAAGCAGTCATTTAATGTCCTTCTTTGAATTATAAAATGTACAAACTGGTCAAGCTTTTTAATACTTTGATATCAAATTTCGCATACATTTAATAAATAATATACGATTTCAAAGCGGATATATATTGTTTTTTTACAAGTTATATTGTTTTTTACAAGTCAAAAAACAGTACCTGGGTCAGAATTTCTCAAACGGGCCACCTGAATTAGGTCAAAATTAGTTTTTGATTGTAGATACATTTTTTCGATAGTATTTTACATCACTAACACAAATCCTAAAGGATTTTGTAAAAAAAAAATTTCAATTGACATATTCATGATATTAAAAGTAAAAGTTTTTAGTAATTAAAAAATAAAAAAAATCATTATGGCTAAACTAATTATCCGATTTCAACGATTTAACTAGCGTTGGAATCTTGTTTTGACATAGATTCTTTGTTATTTTTTTCAATTGTACAATTTTCATTTAGGTTGATTTTTTTTTGTTTTTTTTATAACAAATTCGGAAATAATTGGCTTCTGCGCCAGCTATCGACTCGAAAAAAAAAACACATATACTCCAATCATTTTTCGAAATTATGCTGCTGAGAAAAAAAATGGCCCGCAGGTTCCAGACCACCGTAAGACGTCGCGTCACAAGCGCGGCCACAAAAGGACGAATAACTTTTTGTCAACCTGCGGGCCATTTTTTTTCTCAGCAGCATAATTTCGAGAAATGATTGGAGTATAGGTGTTTTTTTTCTCGAGTCGATAGCTGGCGCAGAAGGCAATTATTTCCGAATTTAGTATAAAAAAACAACAAAAAATCGACCTAAATGAAAATAGGACAATTGAAAAAAATAACAAAGAATCTATGTCAAAATAAGATTCCAACGCTAGTTATATCGTTGGAATCGGATAATTAGTTCAGCCATAATGAATTTTTTTATTTTTTAAATATTAAAAACTTTGACTTTTTATATCATGAATATATCAATTGAAATTTTTTTTTTTACAAAATCCTTTAGGATTTGTATTAGTGATGTAAAATACTATCAAAAAAATGTATCTACAAACAAAAACTAATTTTGGCCCGTTTGAGAAATTCTGACCCACCTACCTATTAGAATAATAAATATTATTGATGAAATTCAACAGGCTTTATGTAAAGCCAATACTCAAACTCAAGGAATTATTTTTAAAACATTTAAAAAAATACAACCATATCATTTTGTTTTATTTTATTTCAAAAATAAAATACCTTAACATAATATGACCCTCTATATTTAAAAAGGATTTTTTCCGGATATGGATGGATAACGTTTTTAAGGAGACAACAATAACATAAATGATTATATATTTATACTTGACCCATTGGCTGTCACAGTGTATATCTATAGATACAGGTACGTTATTTTTCTATGGTAGGTATATGATTTTAATAGTATATTATTATACGACAAATAATGCGCATAATACCAAATGTAATACTATACTTTATCTACTTCAATAAGTAGATAATTGAATGATTTTAAAAAATAAATAAATGAAATCTGACATCTGTCAAATGACTAATCTCACTTTTTACCAATTTTAAATATTATTATAGTCGCCTTGTCCCAATTTAAAACCCGATTGGTTTAAATCACAGTGAATATTGAAATCGGCCAATCAGTGATGCCTAGCAACGTAAATTTATTTTTCACGTTGTTAGACAGAGAATTTATAATTTTTATCATAATTTACTAAAAAGTATATAAAGTTATATTTTTCTTATAGGTTTCAATGAAAATACATTAAATATTGTTAAAAACTATGAATTGATTGAGGGATTCGGGCAAATTTGTTTTAGTGTTTACTAAAAAAAGGTTTTTCCTAAATGAAAAAAGTATGTTTTGTACTAAGCTTTACCTATGAAATTATTAATAATATTTTTATGAGGGTATAAAAATTTTCATATTATAACGCTATAAGCCTAAGTAGGTATATAAAAAGACTTTATATTTGTATACATTTTAAAAGTCAAAATATTATACACTGTACAATGAAAATACATAAAAATTACATAGGAAGGGTGGTTCCATCTATTGCATTTAGCTCGAAATCGGTGTAGGTAACTGTACAAATACAGGTCAATATAGAATAAATTCATGCACATAACCTGATAAACGTCAACATTATCTACATATGGAAAAATCAATCGACAAGGCGAAGAAGAAAGCATATTAACTGCCTCGCTCAGATCTGCCGCTTCGTTTAACGCCTTGGCAGTGAGCTCGTCTAATATAAGCGTTTTCTTCGCCTGTTAGATAATGTACTATTAAAATTTTTATTTTAAATATTCAGTCTCATCACAATTTGGGCCTACAACTAGGGTCATCAAACAATAGGATAAAACGTGTGACTTACCGGACAGAGGCATTTATTTGTCCATTGGACGGTAGTTTTAAATCTGCTGGAAGCGGAGAAAATCTTCCGTCGTCCTCTTGACGCAGCTGGACCCAGCGCTTGATCGCCTGGATAAGGTCAGGGTCGATGCCGAAATATGTCTGAACTTTGCTTAAAGCCTCGAGGGTATAAACGGTTGCACGGTGACTTCCCAGCATCTGGTGTTCACTAAATGAATTATCCACTTTTCGATATGACATTATTGTTTGAATCTGAAATTTTAGTAAATTAGTTTTTTATTGTAAATTAATTTAAAACATTTTTAAATAAATGTTTCAAGATTTGAAATTTTTTGTTGAAGTTGTTCAATGGCGAATGGATTTCGCTGAAACCACTGGTCGGTAAGGGAAGAAAAAAATTCATTTTTAATTATTCCCGAGCATGTGCATTTTTCAATTTAAGTATAAAAAGAAATTTGTTTTTCTCGAAAAGTAAGATTAATTAATAAAGAGCAAAAAACTTTTCATCTGAAACAACTAGTACAGAAGCCCATCTGGAAATTTCGAAATTTTTGTGGAAAATATTGAAAAAATGTTAAAGTTATTAGTTAATGGAGTCAATAGTGTCATAGTTGTAGGTGATTTTAATGTAAAATTTAATTTATTTGAGGATAAAAGCTCAATGTGCATATGTGATCTATTTAAAAGCTTTAACATGTTCCCTCTAGTCAATTCTCCCACCAGGGGTACTAACACATTGGACAATATTTTACAAATATATTGAATTTTAACAATGTCAAGATTATTGATACGAGTATTTCTGATCACTGCGGAATACTATTTGATTTTAATTTAAATGTTAACTCTGAAAATAGTATTATTAAAAAATCTATTAGGCCCATTACGCTTAAAGGTAAGATTGAATTTTTTGAATTAATTAGTTTCATTGACTGGTCGTTCATAGATTCTAATGATGGTTTGGATAATAAGTTTACTTTATTTCTATCAATTTTGGAATCCAAAGCAAATCTGGCATTTCCTAATAAAATTGTAAAAGGTAAAAAATCTAAAATAAACAAAATCTCCTGGTGTAGCCCAGAATTAAAAAAAAATGCGTGAAACTTTATGCTTTATAAATGACTATTACAAAATGTACCCTACTGAACAAACTCGTCTCCTCCTCAAACAATTTAAATTGAAATATAACAAAAAAATAAAGCAAACTAAAATATCAGCCAGTGATAATTATATTTTAAACTCCAAAAATATCTCAAAAGCCATGTGGAAGTTAGTTAACAATAATAACACAAATAGTCCTACAGACAATACATGAAATATAGAGCCCGACGAATTTAATAATTTTTTCTGTAGTATACCCCAAATAACACTGGATTCCTTACCCCCTTCAAAAATTGATCCAATTAATTTTATGTTAAATTTAAACTATTATTTTACTATTAAAGAAGTCACCTACAACGAGGTTCGTGACATCTTTAAAGAACTTAAATCAAGTAAAAGCAATGATATATGGGTCATTCTTACAATAGGGGAAATTTTATGTCCCTGACTTGCCATGCTCAGTCAAGTGCATGTTCACCATTTTTTATTTTATATTTATTTAGGGGTTTATTGACCCTATTCATACACCTATTAACTTAATAATAAAATAAAACCAATTCGATACATTTTCCCTTTAATTACATAAATTGTCATTAGCGTGGATGTCCCTGGATATCCTTTCACCATAATATTTTTTTTTTTGCAAATTAAGAAACTGTCCATAAATACTCTAGCAATAGTATATTATAGACAACACTTTTTAAGATATGTTAAGCGGGATTGAGACAAAAAAATAAAATTGAATTGAAAAAAAAACATTTCTTAAATGTGTCCCTGAGTTTGACATCATTAGCGTGGATTATAATGATACGTATTTAAAATTCCCGCCTACTTTAAATTTTCCAGTTAGCGACCGTTATTATAAACATTTTGGTATACGCTATTTACTTGATTTGGCGCCAAACGCGAACAGTTGCACAGTGAACTATGAAGTGTGAAGTTGTTATGTGTTTCATGGGCGTATGTTTAATGTGCATCATTGGAGTGCTAGTGACAATTTTGTTTATCTAAAAGCTATTAGAAAAATATTGAGAATAATAAATGATCAGTGACAACTACAAAAGGTATGCATAATTTAAATTAAATTCATTAATCCATTTGCTGTCCAAAGAACCTTAACCTTAATTTAGTCATTGGCGTGGATATTTACTTGCATCATTAGAGTGGACTTTTTTGTCCACGCTAATGACGGACTATCCACGCCAATGATATTTTGTACGAATAATGATAATAAGATATTTTTATCTAAAATCGGCAGTAAAGTAGTCAACAATCGACATTAAAGTAAAAGAAATCGGCAGTAAAGTAGAACTTTAGTACCGATTTAATACGAGCATTGTATGCAAACCATTACTGCTCCTTAGCAGCAACTAAATAATATTTTAAAAAAAGCACCTTCGCGGAGATCAATTGGAACCTTTCATAAAATGTTAAAAAAAAAAAATAAGTTAATTTTATTAATTAAATTAAAAATCGCCGCGGCGGGCAAATATATCATAACCCAAAGATAATATATAATATAATAATATAATATAATAATATATAATATAATATAAGATAATATATTATCTTTGTCATAACCATCGCAACAAACAGTATACCATGGACACTACATTCAAATGACATTCGATTCAAATTTTAATGCAGAAGGTGTCTACTGTTTAAAAAGGTAAATAATTTATAATTATTAAATGCGATTTCGGATAAAATTTAATATCGTTACCCTAATTCGCAAAAGACGTAAGTTCACTTTTGAAAAACCGGGTTTTAGTGCCATCTCCTGTTCATGAACCTGCAGGTTTAATATCTACATAAACCGGCAAGTAGCATTACATTTACAATGGGTAGCTGCAATTTACAGAGACATGGTATCCAGGTATGTCTCCTTTTTTTTTATTAATATCGAGCACTGAGGTAAATTATTTTTAGGAATAATTGAGGATATAAATGGAGAAAACATAACTATTACCTTTATGGCAAGAAGTGGTAAATATTTTTATTGGCCTGGATCAACTGATCGACAAATCTTTACAGAAGCTGGTATATTATGTAAACTTGATTTGCCACCACAGCCAATTTCAAATAGATTTTTTAAAGTACCAAACTCCGAGGAAATTGATAAAATATGCTTAATCTATTAATTTTTTTTGTAACCAATGTTTACTTATAAATAAATATTAAAAATATATTTTCTATCATTATTCAATGAAAACTATCATTAGCGTGCCTCTTAGTCATTGGCGTGGATATGGATTTTTGAAAAAGCCCCAAAATTAAAAATTGAGCTCAACAGACTTATCATTTCATAAACTTTATTCATTTCTTATAAAACAGTAGTTTTTCAAAATTTTCTGTAACTGTTTTTTTTTTAATTTCTTATACTCAAGATTGCTCCTATTATAAGAATATCCCATATATAATTTAAATATTGAGATTATTCGTTCAGTACGGGAAATAATTCTTTATCCATTAACAAAGTTAATTAATACTTCTATCAATTCGGGTATATTTCCAATATCTTTAAAAAAACTATACTTATACCGGTCTTTTATAAAGACAATAAAAACGAATTGGGCAATTATCGTCCAATATCCTTATTACCTATTATTTCAAAAATTTACGAAATAGCTATTTACATACCATGGGAGGAAAATATTGCATTTCCTCCCGCGAATAGTTTGATGCCCGACATTTTAAGCGTTCCGGTTCCTTTTACTTACCCGGTATGGGGCTATAAAATTATGACAAAATATTAAGTAGGTTTTGCGTCGCCGACGTTATGTTGACAACGCTTTGTTGCTATGGTATTTTGGTAATACCAACATAACAGTTTTTATAAGCTGTCATAATGTTTATCATAAATTTAATAGTTACAATTAATTTCCTTCCTTAAAAATCTAAAATAGTGAATATGAATATAGTTTGTTAAAAGAATGTTAAAAGAATGGTTGGACAAGCGCGGAGTAAATCTTTTTCCTACAAAATCAAATAAAGCTAGACAAGGTACAAAAACTCTTGCCAATATAAATTTAAAAAAAAAGAGGGAGGAAATTTTTTTTCCTCCCGGGGAGGAAAAGAGGTATTTTCCTCCCTCGCTCGGGGGTGGAAAATTAAGTTTTCTAGTAAGGTAGTAGAAAAAACTCATTTTCAAGCGGATTTCAAACTATTTTGTAGAGAATAATCTTCTAACTAAAAAACAGTTTGGCTTTCGCAAAGGACTATCTACGTCGGATGCAATAATATCCTTTGTCGATAAAGTAAATACTTGCTTTGAACTTGGAGAGTTTATGGTTGATACGTTTTTGGACCTTAGCAAGGTTTTCGATTGCGTGTCCCATGATTTGTTAGTCCGAAAACTTTACTTCTATAATTTTCCCCCTTAAGTGTAAAACTTATCAATTCTTATTTGACAAACAGAACTCAATGTGTTCTTCCTAAAAATAAGTTTTCTTCTAATTTGCCCCTGCATCACGGTGTTCCGCAGGGTTCAATTTTGGGACCCCTACTCTTCCTTATATTTATAAATGATCTGCCTAATCTTCTATTTTTTGAACAAAAATATTTTTATTTGCTAAATTATATTAAATTTTATTCATTCAATATATTTTGTGGTATTATTGACGTACCAACGGCTGTTAGTCCAGGATATTTAGTAGTACCATGTACACTAGGGCGGAGCAAAAATAGATAGTCAATAGGTGCCTTCCCAACTAGCATTTTTATATTTTATAATACTTGCCAAAACGCTTCCTACACAAAAATTATAAAACAAACATAACTCTCAGAAACGTTTTTAAAATGTTTATAAGATAGCTATAAATGTAAAATTGGCACCACTTTATAAAACATTTCAGTTTTGGTTAGTATTTTGTAAAAGCTTTTGGAAACATAATAAAATTATTTTATAAACATTTCGGCAAGTCTTATAAAAACTTTACAAAAGCATTATAAAATAGTTTTGTTAAAGCTTTTTATACTGCGCTATAAAATATACTTTACAAAAGTATAAACATTTTTATAAAACAACTATACAATTTTATAATAGCTTCATGAAAACAATATAAAATAAAAATGCATATTGGAATTACAGTAACAAAATAAAAAGGTTTTTTAAAGATGTTCTGAATGCTGCAATTGAGGCCGAGGCCATTAGC